GCAGGGCTGTCTCTTTGCACAGCTGAATGCTGGTGTGCAGGGCTGTCTCTGCACAGCTGAATGCTGGTGTGCAGGGCTGTCTCTGCACAGCTGAACGACCTTCCTGTCCTTTGTAGAGAGGCAGCTTTCCTGATTTGCAGGGTGCTTCCAAGGCAGAGCTTGCACATTTAGGGGCATGTGATGGGCATATGTATCTCCCTGGTGACACTGACACCGTTTGGTACTGAACAGATTGTGTTGTCCTGGATCCTGCCTCTCTAAGCCACAGCAGGGGTCTCATAAGCCCCAGGGAGATCTCAGAGAGATAACAATACTTCAGTGATAGTTTAACATTCAACAGGTTGGTAGATGACAAGGTTCCTAAAAGGTTAAGCAGCAGCGTCCAACCTTGACTGAGCCAGACAGGGACACATCAGAAGAAGTCAAGGCAGCTCACTTTTCTGCGGAGGTGGCTCCATCCGAGAAAGTGTTCTATCACTCACTGTCACCCGTGTGTCAATTAACTTGCCTGGAATTAATGACTGGAGTGTCAGGCCGAAGGTGACATCTGATGAGCCTGACCTGTCTGAAGACATTTTAGATAGGTTTACGGCCCCAGTTCTCTTCAGAGATTTCCTGGATGGAAGGAAGCTTCATGCCTTAAATTAAACTGGAGACTTAATTAAACTCTGCTGGCCCACACAGGCAGGAAAAAAAGCCACAGATTTTATTAATAGCTGGTGGGAAGTGCAGGATGGACAGAGAAGGGCTGGAAGAGTGGAAAGAAAAACCAATGAACGTGCAGCACAGACCCAGACGGGAGCACAGGTTCGCTGGGTAGTAAGAGACCTGGACCAGCCAGGTGTTGGCGCCTCGGCCCAGCAATGGCACCGCCGTGCTGCACCACGTGCCTGTGAGTGTGGTTTGGCCTCAGGCAGTCTGAGCAGTGCCCTTCCCTCCCAGACTCCCTTCAGATGTCACAGTAGTGGGAAGCGGCCTGGGGTGATCTCCTGCTGGAAAACAAAACAAGCTACATAAAACCTCAGGTCTGGGCTGAGGCCGGGTGGCTCAAGCCTGAGTCTGGGCTGGGCCGGGAGGCTCACGCC